TGACCATCTGGGCTCCATCCCTGCTTGGCCTTTCATTCTTGGCTTCCAGGATGGGCCAGGTTTACCTCTGAGAAGGCAAAGGATTTATGGAGGGGCAAAAGTTTCGTGGTAGCATCTCATGCAAGGGGTAATCTTGATTCAGTCTGTGCCTGAGGGAAGTTCCCTAAAGCTTAGTTGTCCACATCCAAGATGGTCGAAAGCTAAATGGTGAGAGCTTAGGCAAGTGTCTTGAGAAATTAAAGTCTTCATTGATTTTGCCAATGGACTTCTCCATCACTAGGAAATATGGTTCCAATCCGCCAGATTCTCAGGCCCAAACCTCTGAGTCCTCCTGAATGTCTTTGCTTCCCTTACACTGAATGCTCAGTCTAGCAATAGACCAATTGACTCTACCTTTAGTAAGTATCCCGAATCTATTTCTTACCACCTTCTTGATGGTCCCCATCTGAGCTGACATGCTCACTCATGACATTGCGGTTGCTTTTCACTCCACTGGGTCTCCACTCTCACCCTGCAATGTGATTTAGCCAGCAGTTTGGGGGACAAGCCTGATAAAATTTGATATGCTGAAAAGATGCTACAACTTTCTGCCTCACCACAGCATAACCTGGAATCCTGTTTTTAGCTTACAAGGTGTCACCAAGTCCCCTTCCAACCTTCCTTCATGCTTTCTTTCTCACTTTCTTTGATCACTTTGTTCTGTAACTCTGGCCTCAAATACACACCTTCTGCTCCCGCTGGGACTCTGTCCTCCTCTTTCTGAGCCTACAAAAGTCTTTCTCTGCAAGCCTATGTGGCTATCCCTGATCTCTTGACAGTCTCTCTTTAGGTGTTACCTTATCCATGAAGCTTTTCCTACCTGCTCTACATAAAACAGTATCTCCCCCCCCCCACTATATTCTATTTCCTTTCTTTTTCCAAATTTCTCACTCATTGCCCACCATAAGGCAAGTCAGGTTCACAAGAGCAGGACCTCCCATGGTATTGTCTCCTAGACCACCACTCTGTGTAAAGGTGATTGAAGCACTGGGACATGACAGGTCTCATTCATGCATGTCGATTTGGTGACCGGGCCCCAGAACTTACAGTAATTAACTGCTGATGATCTGTCAGGTCCCTAGGAGGTATGCTATATGAGGTCTTCATCTTCTCAGCAACCTGGGAGGTGAGTAGTGTCACCTCACTTTGTAGATGGGGGAGTTGGGACTGAGTGAACCAATTCTTTCTTACACAGAAAGAAAGCCAGAGGTGGTCAGTGCACCCCCATGGGCACAGAGCTGGGTACTTTGGTTTACAGGGTACTTCTTCCCCTGAGCAGAGGTTACCCCTTACGGCATGGCAGGCATTGTGTTAAGTGACTTCCCCATCTTTTTCTTCATGGTTACCCCATGAAGGCATTTTTTTCCTGCTCTTCCCTTGATTTATAAGCCAGGAGACTTGGTTAGACCTAAAAGGAGGGGTGGTGCAGGCAATCCCTTTATCCACTTCCCAGACCTTGACAATGCAAAGTGAAGAGGGGACCTGGGAGGAAGCTCAGCAGCCCCATTCTTCTCCTTTTCTCTTTCTCAGGAGCTGAGGCCCAAGGGAGGAAGGCTTTTTCAGGAACTTTTAATATAGCAATTGCTCATTCACACCTTGCAGCCTCATGAGTCCCATTGACAAAAATACCCAAGGAAGGTGATCCAATTCTACTGCACATTGTAATCCCCAGACTTCCTGACTCTTCCCCAAGGCATCGAGGTGGTGACATTCCTATATTTTCCTGGACGCGTCCACATATCGGAGGGCTCCGGAGAATAGAGCCAGTGTCCTTGGTCAATGTTGCTCCAGTGTCACTACCACCTGGCTGCTGGCCCCGCCATGGTGGCCCTGGTTTCCTGTCCTGGCTTTCAGTGATTTCCAGACGTCTTGCATTTGAGTACTAAATATGCTTCTCATTAGCTGTGAACGAGCGGGTATTAATTTGCCTCCCTGCATCCTTAATTCCTTGTCTAAAAATTCACAGAGTGACAGTGACCTCATAGTGTTGTGAGACTTAGATGAGGATTGACCAGGCCAAGTGCAGAGCACATTGCCGGCGTGTGGCTGGTGCTCTTTTAACCAGCCAGTTGGATTTGAGTCATGTATTCAGTCAGTGCATCTACTGTACACAATACCCCTCTTATTCTTGTCAGCTTTCAGAGTCATCTAGGACTTTGTATTTATCTATTGTGTGTGTGTGTGTGTGTGTGTGTGTGTGTGTGTGTGTGTGTGCGCGCGCGCGCGCGCGCGCGCGCACACGCGTATTAACATATGTGTGTCTCAAAGTGGTTCTGGTCCCTCTTCACCTTTGAGAGTTAGGAAAGAGATCCACCACTACTGTTTGAAGCATCTTGGAGAGGAAGGAGTTTTAGAAACTGGTGAGACAGTTGTTGTGGATGAAGGACTGTGTTGCTAATGACACAGCCGAGGGGTCTTGATTGGGTTCATTTTCTCTGCTAGTTAAAAAATTAAAAGGCAGAATTCTCTTTCTTTCTTTCTTTCTTTCTTTCTTTCTTTCTTTCTTTCTTTCTTTCTTTCTTTCTTTCTTTCTTTCTTTCTTTCTTTCTTCCTTCCTTCCTTCCTTCCTTCCTTCCTTCCTTCCTTCCTTCCATCCTTTCTTTCTTCCTTTCTTTCTTTTTTCGAGACAGGGTTTCTCTGTGTAGCTTTGCGCCTTTCCTGGAACTCGCTTTGTAGA